TAAAGGGTAAAAGGTCGCTGTTAACTTGAAAACTACTGCTACATTTTGAGCTTACAGACGAAAAACAGACTGACTACAAATATAGGGTTACTCGAATGAATGAATTAATGAGTGTGAATGAAACAAAACACAACTCCAGGTATGTTTTTCATGACATAACAAAATTCTAACATGGCTAAAAGCTCACAAGAGTCAATTCTGTGTAATGTATGACCTTTAGGTATTGAAATGCAGTTTGGAATTTCATTTTTTGTGGTAACTCCAAACCAAAATGTATTCCAAAGAGATTAATTTAGTCTTCTTCAACTTGTATGGTTCTTTTCTAGTATGAGATTTAGTTTTGATATTAGATTGAATAAGAGTATGATGGTATTACTTCTTTTGACAATCCTAACCTTCAGTAAATAGAGTGTAGTGTTATGCTTGTTATATTGAGGCACTCAAGCAGCACTTCTATTTTTACATACTACACAGCTCTGTGAAGTGTCTTCTCAAACCTAATTAGTCACACAAGGCTTATTTTACATGTTTACTGAAATATTTGATGGTACGAGTTTGGAAATGGGAGAAAGCTTTATTAATAATGTCAAAGAACTACATACTGATCTGTACAATTATATTTTCTTTTTGAAAACATAGACATGGTTTACACTTGATAGGCCGTGCTGCATTCTCACATATCACCACTAGATGTTGCCTATGTTACTGCTGTCTGATAATGTGCTGTAATTAGCCCATTGTGGGAGAAATTAAGGTTCTCTAATCTTAAAATAATGCTTTTTTTCATATGAGCATTTAACTCACATCTTCAGTCAATCAAACTTTATTTATAGAGTGGTTTTCATACAAATAATCCAACACAAAGCGCTTTACAGTGATCAAAAACAATCCCACACTTCATTACATTTTTTTTTTTCTTTTTTCCAACTAACTATCTGAAATCTGGAAATTTATTCTGACTGTCTGGAATCTGGGACACTAACTCTCTGGAACCAGTACAAAAAGTAAAAAGAAACCCTTCTGCAACATCAGCACATACAACAAAAACACAGTACAGACATAATCGACAAGACTAGCAACCGGGTAGGACAGGGAATTGGAGTCTTCATAAAGTAATGGAGTTGTCAAAAGTATTGAAAATCTGACACTAATCGATACTAAAACTAATATCGAAACTAGATAATGCAATAATTAAAACTGCATCACTCGTGGTCATACTTCGTCTCATATTTATTCTGTTTATGGCGTTTGTTTATGTGGTGCTTTGTGTTGTGTTGTCCTGTTCCTTTTGATAAAGCATGTTACCCCTGTCCCAAGACAAATTTCTCCCATGGGAGACAATAAAGGATTATCTTATCTTATCTTATACTCATTTGAACAAGTATCAGCTCTAAAAAAGTCACATTCACAGGACAAAATGAAGCTTTCCTGAATAGTTTTAGAATGATCTTGAGGTGTATCAGAACAAGTATAAGAGCACATAGACTAGTGTACACCCATGGACCACTATGGAACCTACCTGGCCACATGGTAAAATAAGAAAGTATTGTGATTTATTGTTGAAAATCACATTGTATTGTCATTAGGGGTGTGCAAAACTATCAAAACATCAATATATCGAAGCATTTAATGTGATGATAGATCGATATTGGCAGCTGTAAAATTGATAAATTGAAAGCAAATTAAATATGGATGCATTCACAATTTCAGGAACACTGTACATGATTAAGTTGTTAATGTTTACATTTAGTGTTATGGTTCTTAAGAAAAATAGGCTGACTAGTAGAAAGCACAATGCACTCCTCACTAATAAATAGGTGTACAAAAATACTGACATATCAATATATCGTTTCGTTTAATTTGACGATACAATATCGATATTATGGGCTGTTGTATTGATATATCGCCAAGAGTATTTTTTGCTATATTTTGTTAAATTATTTTGTTACAGCGCCACAGTTTTGTTGCTTGTTTAGTGGAAGGAAACTAGTTTTTACAACACATTTGATATTTTCATTGTTTAGATGATTAAAATGTTTGTGTTTCATATGAACTTTGCACAAGAAGTGGTTTAACAAAGACTTTTAGTATCACAGCCATGATTTAGTGTTTATTTTTTATTGAACCATATCGAATCGATTTGAAATATATTGTATCGTATCGTTGCCTATGTTTCAAGGTATGTATCATATCGGCAACTTCTTAATGATACCCAGCCCTAATGATCATGGTATCGGAATCAGTATCGAGCATCGAGTCTATTCCTTAGTACTGAAATCGAGTTTGAAATTGTCATTTTTGATTCTGGGTTCCGGGCAAAGATTTGGTCACAATTTCTTTCAAATTCACACTCAGCCGTTACACTGTGATGCTGTGAGTAGTGGAGCCCGCGTGCTGTGGTGTGAGCGCGTGTGAACATGTGGCGCGCTGATTTCAGATGGCACAAATAATACATAATAACCCGAGACAGCTCATGTGCAGATGGGAGAGGAGTCAGTGCAGTGTGACCTACTTCTGCACAGCCCCACTGCACTACTGTGGTTTAAGCGCTCATGTGGACGGGTCAAGGTTAGCTCAAGGCTACTACTCCCTGCACACGTCATCGAGACTCATTTAAGGGCTGAAATGATTCTAAATTCAGACAAATTTTTGAAAAACTCACACATTTGGACAATAGTTCTGCTGTCTATAACTAATCTGATTAATTCTTATTACGTAATCATGCATTTACAAATTAAAAAGTACACTGTGACTATTTCGATTTCAATGAGATTTTATTGCCATTGTACAAAATACAATGGAATTTCAATAGAGCACAACTGTATTTGTGCACTCTAAAACATGCAATATCCAGAGAAAGTGCTCCACTGTGTTTTTAAACTCCATACACCTTCACTAGAATCATTTGGATAATTTCAGCCCAGGAATTTCCAGTCTTCACTGAACAAAAGGTAAAAGATAGACGTTAACTTAAGAACTACTGCTTCATGACATCACAAGGTGGAAGAGAGTATTTTGAGTGACTATTTCAGTTTAGATGAGATTTTGTTGCCATTGTACAAAATACAATGAAATTTCAATAGAGCAAAACTGTATTTGTAATCAACACACTGTAAAACATGGAATATCCAGAAAAAAGAGGTTTGATTCAAGGCAGAGCAGTCAATGTAAGACAATTTCAAGCACCAGACTTTTAGCTTCATGTTATTCTGAGTACAAAAATTTCTAATATCTATGCGGTTTTGCTAAATTATTCATTTAAAAAAAGTCAGTTTCATAAACAAAATACTTTCAATAGTACTCTAGTCCTGTCTGAAAAAGTCACCTGTCTAAACAACCACACCAAATGTGTAAATTCCAAATAATCTGAATCTAATACTTTTATTTATTTCTAATATATTTTTGTGTTTTCATCTAAAGATTAGAGCATACTACATTGTAAAAGTAGCACAAAATACTACTATGTGCTGTTTCTAATAATGCAGTAAATATTTTACCAGTCACAAACCCTGAAACTGTCGTAAGTGGAGGATGCTGATTGGCTGCCTGAAAAGTTGTTCTTTAGCTGAAAATCATGCATGTGAACTCCAGTGAGGTTACAAAGAGTTTGTGAGCGCTAAGCTACTTTGTGTTTCTTCTTTCTATTTTCACAAGTTGAAAATCGGGGCAGGGCATCTTTAAAAGTGTAAGTTTTCTGGTGGAGGGTCGGTCAAATGCTTTTCTCCATGAAAATGTTATTGCTTTGTCTGGGGTGTTAGAATAGAATGAATGAAAGGAATCGAAATTGGAAATGTCACCCTGTCCGTACACTTCCAGTCTTTGAGATGTGATCAATACTGCGCTCCAAATGTAAATGTAAAACGTAAGAGTGTAAAATGTAAATACACACATGCAAATACTGCACTGAGAAACTCTATACTACACACAACCCCAACCCCTCCTACCCACGGGCCTTTTTTTTCCTGCATCTTTTGTTTTTATGTACTTATTGTTCTTTTGTTGTTGTTGTTTTTTTTTGTTTGTTTGTTTTTTTCTCTCTTTGTATGTGTGTTAGTCTTACATTTTGTTATGTCTATTTTATTAATTATGTGCTGGGTATCCATTCCCTAAAAAATGAAAATAAATAAATAAATAAATAAATAAAAATAAAAATACTGCGCTCCAAGGCCAAAGTTTCATCCAATCTCCAGTCTATGGCCGCTAGCCTTTCAGTGATGTTTTCCAAAATGCGGTGTGAGACAACCGAACCTTCCATAACACGGCTCATAGTCACATTTTGACAGTTCGTAGCTTTACTTTCCATTTCAATCTCAGTCTGGGAAGCCAAGTGGGGTGTTGAAAAGCTGCCTCGGTAATTTGAACAGCAAAAGACCTGTAATCATGGTTCCAAAAAGGTAAATGTCTTCTACGTCCTCCACGGAAAGAGCCGCCAGACACATGACGTGCCAGTTCTCCAAGCCACCCATTGTGTAGCCATCCAAGGAGGGGCACCCAGGTTCGCCCGATCCTGAGCTTCTTCTTGAGAAAATGGCGTCACTTGCGTTTAGAGACCAACTTATCAAATCCATAGTTAATTTAGGTTCGGAGAGCAGACACTAGACTAGACGAGACAGAGAGGCAAAGCAGGGAAGATAAGATATGCAGGAGAGGAGAGAAAATGCATCTGCCCTCGCCAAGAGACGAGACAAGAACGCTATTTCACAGTAAACCTTTCTATCACCAGACAACTACAGGTCAGATCTGTGGAGAGGTGACCCCACTCAAAGTCAGAATGCTTGTTTTTATAGGTATTTTTGAGCTATAAAACCACCTGTAGTTGAATAAATGTAAGGTAGAGCTGTTTAATGTCACACTGTGGAACATTCTCGGCAGAGCAATGACATATCCATAAAAACAAGAAGGTTACATAGCCCGAACCAAAAAGCTACACAATGCACCTTTAATAAATCACTTTTGAAGTATTGACATTGACATTCACATTTAAATTTGAGCATACTGACCTGTGATGACGAGTTTGTATGGGACGGACGCCTCGGTGAGCATGGTCTGCACGTGCCCACTGAAGAGCTGCAGGGCCTGGCCACGCCCACTGTTCGGGTTCACCAGGATCATGACCCGACACGGCCGCCTCACCTCTGCGTACACTGCACCTGTGCACAAAAGGAGGATGGGGGTCAGACAACTATAGCTGGGTTTCAAATTACATCGTGACTCAGTTTGCATAATATAGGACCCCAACTGATGCTGGCAGTGACTATTTTTAGGTTTGTTTACATACTGTATCTTCACACACACCACTGTTACCAGCAGGTGGCGGTGTCATTATCAGAATAAAACTAAAATATACAAGGAGATATTAACTAACTGTATGTGTTTTTGAGTAAAATGTCTCTTGCCAAAGAACTGATATATTGTATAAGCAGGTCTTGAGGTCAAAATAAGTCCACTGTGTCCTGTCTGATAATCTAGAAGTGTGCGTTAGTATGCTAGTTGTTGTCTTTACCATGACAGCAAAACTCTACCTCTGAAAAGTAAAAAAAAAAAGCATTTATAAACTAGGGGTGGTACATGTATTCATGCTGAACCGTTTCAGTACAGGACGTTCAGTTCGGTACAGGGCAGTGCATGTGTGAGTTTGCGCAAGGTGTGTGTGTTTACATTCTGCCACTCCATGTGCAGCTACACTGAAGGCTCGGCTCTTTAATATTCACGACTAAATTCGTCTGTGATTGGGGTAGCAGTGTTTCCCGCAGCGCTTTATAGTTAGGGCAGCCACCTTGACAACAATTGCCCCCCGTCTTGACTACGTCCACATGAATCCTTGCAAAACTACGGTCCTCATGCCCCGGTCCTCAGTCTCGCCTTTCGCCTGCACAGAATCTCCACCCCCCCCACTCTATACTCCCCCCCCATTGACATTGTAACTGCAGCAGATCTGCACTTACTGCAGACAATGTGGACAAGTTGTTTTTTCTGGCCAAAAATATAGTATATAGTATATAGTAGTATTAGTTTATTTTCTTCGGTCAATTAACATAATCATGCATCATATAACAATGATTTAACAAAAAACAAATTATGCAGTTAATGCAAATCAATAAGGTTTTTGTATAAACCGAAGGGGTTTAGGCTGAAGTTTAACACTTGTTTTGCCAAACCCTATTAACATAGAACAGGATTCAAGATGGCAGAACTAATTACAGAAAACAACAACAAAAAATAAATAAATAAATAAAATCCTCTTTTATGAGAGCAGGAAAGGAAATGTTCTAAAACTAAAACTTCATGCTGGAACTGTTAGTGCTGCACTTTACTTTTTGAAACGTTTTGCTTACTGTTTACAAATAATTATTTTTTTATAATATTTCATACAGTTGTTGCTTATTTGAGAATATTTTATTTAACTTATTAGTATTACCAAGCAACACTTTGCATTTATTTTATTTTCCCGTTTGTATAATGATAAAAGAAATTGTTGGTTTAATAAAAACACAAACAAACAAGAAGTAAATTGTTTTGCATTTTGTTCTCATACTGTACCGAAAATGAACCGAACCGTGACCTCAAAACCGAGGTACGTACAGAACTATGATTTTTGTGAACCGTTACACCCCATTATAAACTCATCACGGTGAATAATTAGGATGCTCAGAATGCATAAACTTTGAACCACTGCAATCTGTATAAAATGAACATGTTCTGCTTTTCATATTTTTAAGACAGTAAAATCAGTTACAGGGCTTTTTTTTTGCCAGCATACAAATGTAACTTAGCATGCATGATCAAAAAACTCCACAAATACTAAAGGACGCCCTCTCCCTGAAGGTCTGACACTGAGTACATGACAACAGTAAGATCATACCCACAGTGACAGCGATCGCCAAAGACGATTCATAAAGTTAATACGACATCCAAGAGAAGCCAGGGAGAGTTTTTAACACGAGAAGTGATCTGACAGCGCCCCCTAGAGCCTGCTGGCCTTTTGCTCTCGTCTCGAAGGGGGACGTGTAGTGACTAAGCTTTATTATTATTATTACTGTGGGAGGATGCTCAGGGCCGGAGAGGTGAACGCCGACTCCTGCACACACACGGCGGTCTGGAGCACGGAAGATATTTGTCAGAAATAACAAGGCAATGCAATGAGGAGATATGCAGTGAGCGAGACTATAAAGCGCATTCATTTAAAAGATTATAGCTCTGCCGTGCACTGTCTGCTCCTAGCGATCATAACTGAATCTAGGATGCTACTAGCTGTCATAAGTCATAATAAAAGCTGTCATAATTACTATATTGAGTTAGTGTTTAATAAATGATGGATGGAACAATATTTCAGGGCTCGGTAATTGTTGTGTGGAGCTTTTCTACCTTTGCTCTAATAGAACTTTTTCTTTTTTGTAATAGGCCTATACAGGAAGATTTAAGTGCTAAAAAGTCAAATAATTCACTTCTATGGCTCATTATAGATATCAGTGATGTTTTCTAATGATATAGTACATTTCCAAAAGGGTTTATTTGGGTTTTTGTGCTTTAGAGTTTGTGTGTGAGTGTTAGTAAGCCTATAAGTACAATAAATATTATCATGATCACTTCTGAAGCAATAGTATATGACACTATCATAGGCCTAGTCATACACTGCGTGAGAACACATATGTCTTAAGCTCTCTGGACTAGATTTACTTCTGTTTACTTTGACTAACTACTTTTGGACTTGTTCACAGAAATCGTCCACCCTAAACACATGGCATGAGTCTGAGAACTTATTTCTATGAGCAGACAGAGTGAATATGCAGGCATGTTATGTGAGGTGTGTGGTCTTTCACCTGAGGCTAAATACACAGTGATGTCTATATGCACAGCTGAGCGCAGAACAAGCTTTTTGAAGATACACAGACCGACCCAGGCTCTCATGCGCACAGACAGAGGCAGGAGGAGATGTGTCTCACTGAACATGATCCAAATTGACAAACGAACGTGTCAAATAGCAGCTCAGTGCTCGTTCATATAGATAGGCCTAAGTGAGCTGAGCACTTTTTACCCAATTTTAAGAACTGTTACTGTCACCGCAGACTGTGTAGGTTAGCCTGAGGTCACTGGCATTCACACCACACTGTCCCCGCTCCAGAGAGAGAGGAGTCGCTCCAGAGAGAGAGGAGCCGCTCTGAGACCTCCCGTTTGGAGAGCTCTCGGAGCGGCTGTTTAATGTGAATCAGAATGTGATTGTCATGTTCACACCGGCTCGAATGCTTATATAAAAATCAATCTAACTAATGGCAGTGTGAAAATGACCTCAGAAAGTCCTTTTGGGTTTATTAGTAGGGCTGGGTATCATTCAGAAGTTGCCGATACGATACATACATCGATACATAAGCCACGATACGTATCTCGATACAGTGAGCTTACAAAACAATATGATTCAATATGTTGTATTTCAAATTGATTCATTTCAGTTTATTTATTTCAGTCACAGGTATATTTTGACATTAATTCATAAACAGTCATATTTAACATACACAGACTGAAAAGGTGCAGGCTGAAGCTTAAGCTTATTATGCCTTTACCCTTTATTCCTTTGTCAGAGCTTCATCTTGACACCAGTTCATCTTCATAAATACAGCAGGAAGAAACAAGCTAATCAGTAACAGAACAACAAAGTTCTACAGCACAAACTAAGTCTCATATTTCATGTATCTATCCAGAGTTAAACATTTAAACTTCTTTATGAAGTGAAAGAAAGTGGTGCACAATTTTAGGTTTTCTGTACAGTTGTTCCAGAGCTCCACCCCTTTAACAGATATACAAAATTTCATAATGTTTGTTCGATACGGTTGAATAAAAAATAAAGGCTAAATCACGATTCTGATCCTAAAAGTCTTTGTTAAACCACTTATTATGCAAAGTAAATATGAAACATACACATTTAAATCATCAAAACAGTGAAAATGTCAAATTTGTTGCATGAATGAGTTTCCTTTCACTAAAAAAGCAACAAAACTGTAGCTCTGTAACAAAATAATTTAATAAAATACCAAAAAATACTCTTGGCGATATATTGATACAGCAACCCACGATATCAATACTGTATCATCACATTAAACGATACGATATATTGATATTTCAATATTTTTGCACACACCTATTTATTAGTGAGGATCTCATTGTGCTTTCTACTAGTCAGTCTAATTTTCTTAAGAAACATAACACTCAATGTAAACATGAACAACTTAATCATGTTCAATGTTTCTGAAATTGTGAATGAATCAATATTTATTTTGCTATTAATAAAATCACACTCTGAATTGAACATTTAGTTCATAGTTGTAGAAGGCAAAGGTTTGAGAGACTTCCGAGCAAGAATCTTTGACTGGAGTATCAAACTACACAGATTCAAGCACAAGACCTTCTGACTGTGAGAAAGTCCAAACTACATGCCAGAGTTTCCACCAGAGTTTTGTTGTTGAATGTTGATAGAGAAAAGCTGTTCCAGTCCACTGCCAGCTCAGTCCTTGTTATCTTGGCCCACGTCAACAGAGGTATAATACTCCCTACGCTGGACGCTGAAAATTCTCCCTTCTTGAAAATACTGGACATTGGACAAATTTCAACATTTTCTTTAAAGGGCCCATCTCATGCAAAATAACTCTTTTCACACTGTATCTTATGCACATTTACAAGCACAATTTGGGTTTTGGAACATCCATTACACAATAGTTATGAAATCTTACTAATTTCTTGGAGGCAGTTACAGACCAGGGACTGTGAAAGGCCGACTATTGCTCATCCCCCCGTCCGTCCTGAGAAAGCACAGGCTCCGCCCTCCAAACGTGGCGTAGGCTTTAAGTGAGCCGCCCTTCCTCCGCCCATCTCATGGAGGGGGGTGGGAGTCAGGCGTGCGCCCTGATAACAGTAGGAATAAACTTTTATTCATCATGGCGATACAGCTCGTTCAGCCACATGTGGGTTTTGTTCAGTTGTGGCGTGTAGGGAGGGTGCTGTATGGGACCGCTGGATTGTCGGTGTGTTCGCAGTGACTCAGTTGTTCAGTTGTGTCTAGAAGTGGCACATTGCACTCGCTTTTTCGGTTCGTTTGTTCGCTTTTTTGGTTCGTTCCTCGTCCGCGTGGAGTGATGAGTGTGTCTGTGGGTGTTTTACG